TTAGCATAAGATAAAATCGTATAGGGTAAACCATCATCAGCGACATCATCACTTAAGCCCAAAATATCCGAATGGCGGGACTAGAATAGAAATAAAACAAATTAAAACATATCCTCCAAAAGGCCAAAAAACAACCCACTTACCGCATAACCATTTATGGTCATAGTATGTGCATGATCTGAGGTCACCACTATTAAAGTATCCTCTTCTGAAGTCATTTTTAAGGCCACCTCTACCGCTCTATTAAATTCTTCAGTTTCCTCCATACTACGTCTGGCTCGAGTATCATGATGAGCCATATCTATTTTAGCTCCCTCCACAAATAAAAAGTAGCCTTCACTACTGCGTTTTAATAATTCCAAAGCTTTCTCAGTCATTTCACTTAAAGAGGGTACTGTCTCCTTTAAATTTTCTCGTTCCAAATCACCATGATAGGGACAGTGTGAGGATGAAAATAAACCCATTAAATAATCGGTATTATCCAAATCTAAATCATTTAAATCATTTTTATTGGAAACATAAGCTGCTCTTTTATTTTGCTGTTGCTTAATCATTTGCCATTCTTCTATTAAGTTTCTGCCATCAGTTCTTTGACCTGGTAGATCGGTTTCATCACTAACAGTTTCATTAAGGAAATTTCTTCTGCCACCACCCATTATAACGCGCAACTCTTGACCCACTGGCCATTCGATCAGCTGGCGTGCTATATCCACATTTGCCTGAGGATTACAACTGTCATTGAAAATCTTTGCATCATTTTCCCATTCACGATTGGCTGTGTGAGCATAAACTCCTGCCGGCGAAGCATGAGTTACACGAGCAGTGGTAACTAAACCAGTCCATTTGCCCGCATCTTGAGCCCATTTAGCTATACTTTCTGTATGCAATGATTCATCTTGACCCAAATCACAATCGAATCTAGTTACCTGACCATTAACACCAATAGTACCATAATTACCCTTGACACCAGTCAAATAAGCCGTAGCCGTGGAGGCTGAATCGGGTACTTGTTTGTCAACACAAAAAGTTTTCGATAAACCCACATAGGGAAACTTTTCGAAAGCCAATTGTTCCGAAGCATCTTTAATGTAGGAGCGTGCTGCTGTTACTGTGTGTACAGACATACCATCACCCAAAAATAGTATAATATTTTTTGCTTTCTTGTTATTCAAATTAGCTTGTCGCTGCAGTTTTTGCTTGAGATATTGCTGAGCATTGTCGTACCAATAGTTGGGCTCTAATTCATTTAGATCATTGGCGAATTTTGTTGATTTAACCGGTTTTAAATGGGGATGTGTTTCTGTGAATAACAGTACATACATATGTTAAAAGATTTATTTTGTATTATTTGCATAGGAAACCTGAAAAATCGTAGGTACATATTTGGTACTATCGAATTTCATTCCTAAATTGTTTCCATCCCTGATTTTAGGCATTAGCTGTTACAAATCATGAGTTTTGTTGTTGTTTTAGCGGTAGACTTCTTGTGTTGTTTGTTTTTGAAATAGCACTGCATTTTTCCAAAAATAGTACTTTTTATTATTAAAAGTACTAAATTACATTTCAAAGCCTATTAAGAGGTCTATGGATAAGTATATTGACCAGTCTATGAACCGGTATATTTGTCTGACTTGTCTGTGGAGTAGTCTATTGACTTTTCTGTAGACTAGTACATTGACTAGTCTATAAATAGACTAGATCGCGGATTGGTCTAGTGCATGAAATTGTCTTTTGAGTAACCTATGGACTAGTCCATAGGCAAGCCTATTGAAAAGTTCCCTGATAACTAATTTATTGACTAGAATATTGATTAGACTATTGATTTATCTATAGATTAGAATATTGACTAATCTATGTACGATTCTATTGATCTGATTGTGGACTAGACCATTGACAACTATATGGACTAGTCGTTTGATTAGTTTATGGACCATCCTATTTACTTATCTATTGACTAGTCTATGGAATAGCGTATTGACTAATTTATGAACTAGCCTATAGTATTATAAACAAAAGTTTGGGAAAATTACTTAATATGCCATGAGATACTACGGTATTTTTTTGATGTCGAAAAGAACTGAATTATCCCTGATGAAGATCCCAAAGCTGCCATAACGTTATTTAGTTATAGTTAGTTAGTTGGTTAGTTAGTTAGTTAGTTAGTTAGTTAGTTAGTTAGTTAGTTAGTTAGTTAGTTAGTTAGTTAGTTAGTAGTTAGTTAGTTAGTTAGTTAGTTAGTTAGTTAGTTAGTTAGTTAGTTAGTTAGTTAGTTAGTTAGTTAGTTAGTTAGTTAGTTAGTTAGTTAGTTAGTTAGTTAGTTAGTTAGTTAGTTAGTTAGTTAGTTAGTTAGTTAGTTAGTTAGTTAGTTAGTTAGTTAGTTAGTTAGTTAGTTAGTTAGTTAGTTAGTTAGTTAGTTAGTTAGTTAGTAGTTAGTTAGTTAGTTAGTTAGTTAGTTAGTTAGTTAGTTAGTTAGTTAGTTAGTTAGTTAGTTAGTTAGTTAGTTAGTTAGTTAGTTAGTTAGTTAAGTTAGTTAGTTAGTTAGTTAGTTAGTTAGTTAGTTAGTTAGTTAGTTAGTTAGTTAGTTAGTTAGTTAGTTAGTAGTTAGTTAGTTAGTTAGTTAGTTAGTTAGTTAGTTAGTTAGTTAGTTAGTTAGTTAGTTAGTTAGTTAGTTAGTTAGTTAGTTAGTTAGTTAGTTAGTTAGTTAGTTAGTTAGTTAGTTAGTTAGTTAGTTAGTTAGTTAGTTAGTAGTTAGTAGTTAGTTAGTTAGTTAGTTAGTTAGTTAGTTAGTTAGTTAGTTAGTTAGTTAGTTAGTTAGTTAGTTAGTTAGTAGTAGTTAGTTAGTTAGTTAGTTAGTTAGTTAGTTAGTTAGTTAGTTAGTTAGTTAGTTAGTTAGTTAGTAGTTAGTTAGTTAGTTAGTTAGTTAGTTAGTTAGTTAGTTAGTTAGTTAGTAGTTAGTTAGTTAGTTAGTTAGTTAGTTAGTTAGTTAGTTAGTTAGTTAGTAGTTAGTTAGTAGTTAGTTAGTTAGTTAGTTAGTTAGTTAGTTAGTTAGTTAGTTAGTTAGTTAGTTAGTTAGTTAGTTAGTTAGTTAGTTAGTTAGTTAGTTAGTTAGTTAGTTAGTTAGTTAGTTAGTTAGTTAGTTAGTTAGTTAGTTAGTTAGTTAGTTAGTTAGTTAGTTAGTTAGTTAGTTAGTTAGTTAGTTAGTTAGTTAGTTAGTTAGTTAGTTAGTTAGTTAGTTAGTTAGTAGTTAGTTAGTTAGTAGTTAGTTAGTTAGTTAGTTAGTTAGTTAGTTAGTTAGTTAGTTAGTTAGTTAGTTAGTTAGTTAGTTAGTTAGTTAGTTAGTTAGTTAGTTAGTTAGTTAGTTAGTTAGTTAGTTAGTTAGTTAGTTAGTTAGTTAGTTAGTTAGTTAGTAGTTAGTTAGTTAGTTAGTTAGTTAGTTAGTTAGTTAGTTAGTTAGTTAGTTAGTTAGTTAGTTAGTTAGTTAGTTAGTTAGTTAGTTAGTTAGTTAGTTAGTTAGTTAGTTAGTTAGTTAGTTAGTTAGTTAGTTAGTTAGTTAGTTAGTTAGTTAGTTAGTTAGTTAGTTAGTTAGTAGTTAGTTAGTTAGTTAGTTAGTTAGTTAGTTAGTTAGTTAGTTAGTTAGTTAGTTAGTTATTTCGTAGGTACATTTTTCGTCGGATTTATGCTATTTAATTTCCCAATGTACTCGCTTATTTACATATAACTGCTAATTTGCTTCAAAAATTATCACTTACCAATTGTTTGGGCCCAACAATACAATGTCAATGGACTAGCAATTAGTAAAACGATTGCTACTAAGTGCTGCTGCATTTTGCCAGAAGAGAATTGATTTCTTTTTTCACAGCACCTGTTTTCTATATCTTCACCAACGTAGCCGTGATTGAAGGTGTTTAATTATTGAGTATTTAACAACTACTAGCAGTAACTGTTGGTATTTTTTAGGTTTTTATAAAATTTCCGATTATTTGGTTTATTTTGTCGCATTTAACTTATAGTTATAAATAAATAATTGATTTGTTAGGTGATTTGAGTATTTTGTTATTTTGTTTTTTTTTTTATTATAAATATTTACTTTAATCTTATCTCATCGATTCGTATATATAAATCTGCAACAAAAGAAACGAAGAAAAATAAATATGATTTTTAATTACTAGTGTTAAACGTGTTTTCAGTAAAGTGGTTGTTAAAGATGGATTTGAAACGAATATGGAGGGAACTACAATTGAAATACAAATGAAATTTTTTAAACAAATTTTCTCTATAGCGAATAGTGAATTAGAATTAAGAATAGCAATTAGCAACAACTTAACATATTTTTAAAATTTTTTATATCTTTGATTGGATATTGTTTTTAATACAAAAAATCGAAATGTAGATATTTCTTTAACAATTTATCTTACTAGAGTGTCATAACTGATATATTTAGAGTGTAGGGTATATTTTTTTAATTTGTTCAAATATTTTTTTGTTAAATGCTTAAAATATTGTTAAACTGTTTGTTTTAGTTAAACTATTAGAGTGACCAATCGATATTAACATAACTTTTCATTTTTATTTATAACGACTTAAAAATTTTTTACATTTTTTATGGTCACCTCAAACTAACATTTTTAAAAAAGTACCCACCGAGTTAAAAATAAATCATAATTCACGTGAATATCACACTTCACTCTCACTCATACCAAGGAAATATTGAAATACAAAAAGATTAATATTTGAACGTAAAAACAGTAGCAAATAAAATGCTTAATTAGTAAAAACAAATCTGGGTATTTTGACCATATTAAATGACCACTAAAATTGCAATCATAAATCACAACAATTTAATACATTTATGACGTTGGGGAAAAATAACAACAAAATAGTTGAATATTTTAAATCAAACTGGTGATAAAGATAATTATAAATCGAAAACATAGTATTTAAACAGTTTAACTCTCTCGACAAAAATAAACACTGGAGAGAGAGGGAGAGTTTGTATTTCAAGCTTATAAAAGTTAGTTACTGGCTTTTCAGCTTTTAGTAACGTTTTAGTTATAGCCTCAACATGAGTGCTAATAAAGTGACAAATACTTTGCTATTATTGCTCGTATTCTTCTCGGCATTATTAGATTTGAGTTTTGCTTTACAATGCCAAGAAGATGATGAAGATTGCCGCGAAAAATTTATGCATCCCGCCATTCCCGAGCACAAACTTAAACGACGCTCTGCTCCCGAAGAAGTGCTAACAGAATATTGGCTAGATAAAGGTGAACGTTTTGTGGCCTATAAAGATGCCACTGCCGAGAAACCTGTAAGAAATAAAGCCCAAAATATTATATTCTTTTTGGGTGATGGCATGTCATTGGCCACTTTGGCGGCCACCCGTGTGTATTTGGGTGGTGAGGAGAAGAGTTTGTCTTTTGAAACTTTTGCCGATACTGGTTTGGCTAAAACTTATGCTCTTGATCGTTTAGTACCCGATTCCGCCTGTTCAGCTACAGCCTTCTTGTGTGGTGTTAAGGCTAATTATGGCACCATAGGGGTATCCGGTCATGTAAAGCGGGGAGATTGTGAAGCTTCTAAGAATACAACCTTTTATGTGGATTCCATAGCCAAATGGGCTTTGGAGGCTAAACGTTCTGTGGGTTTTGTTACCACTTCCAAAGTAACAGATGCCACTCCGGCCGCCCTTTATGCCCACACAGCCGATCGTGATTGGGAAAATGATAAAAAAGTGAAAAATGTTTGCGGCAAAAATTCTGGTGTTAGTGATATTGCCCTGCAGCTAATGCAAGGTGAGGTGGGCAAACGTTTAAAGGTCATTATGGGTGGTGGCAAATCACAATTTATCGATGAGGCTTTATATGCTGAAGGCAAACGTAAAGATGGTCGTAATTTAATACAAGAATTCCTAAACGAAAATCCCAATAATATGTTTGTGGAAAATAGAGAGGATTTGTTAGCCGTTAACCCATTGTCCACTAAACGTTTGTTGGGTTTATTTAATGATGGTCATATGAAATACAATCTAAAAGCTTTAGATTCCAAGAAAAATAAACAACCTAGTCTAACGGAAATGACCGAAAAGGCCATCAAATTATTACGTGCTAATAATAACAATGGTTATTTTCTCTTCGTGGAAGCTGGACGTATTGATACGGCTCATCATAGTAATAAAGCCAAATTGGCTTTAGATGAAACTGCTCAATTGTCGGAAGCGGTGGAGTTAGCTAGAAGACTAACAGATATGGATAACACTTTGATTGTAGTTTCTTCGGATCACTCACATACCATGTCCATTTCGGGTTATGCAGTAAGTTGTTGTTGTTTTTTTTCTATGTTCTCATTTGATCATTCATTTTACTTTGTCGATCAGCTATCGGCAAAAAGCTTTCTCGTGAGTTTTCTTAATCTTTTGCTTTCACGTGTTTGTAAACAAACAAGACCAATCCCAAAGCTTTTTAATTATTCTCTAAACATATCTCAGCACATCTGAGTCTAATCAACGTTGAATTGTTATTCTCTTTACTAATGAGATCATAACTTGTTTTTTATGACTCTCATTTAGAATTTCCCATGTTCTCATTTGCTCGTATATTTTGCTTTATATCAGTTATCGGCAAAGAGCACTCGCATAAGCTTTATCCTATCTTACCATCTAATATTTAAAAACTCACACTTATAAAATATATGCGCAACTAATCAGAGAGCTGTTTTGTTGCTCTCTACGCACATTGAAGGTCAACTGTCATCCTCTCTTCTTATCAGAGATAAATTTGTCCCTTATGACTCTCATTAAACTATTTTCTTCACTGTTGAATTCGACGTCTAACTTCATATTCTCTCTCCCAAACTAACCTTTACAGCAACGCGGCAATGATATTACAAAATTAGCCTCCCTAGGTGAGGATGAATTGCCGTATATGACTTTGAGCTATGCCAATGGTCCCGGTTTTAAACAGTTCTATAATACTAAGAAAAATTATCGTGAAGATCCCCGAGATGTTTTAGCAGCACAAGAAGAGGAAGATTATGATTTACAATTTCCTGCCACAGCTCCCATGGAATCTGAAACTCATGGTGGTGAAGATGTGCCGGTATATGCCTCGGGTCCTTGGTCTGATCTATTTAGTGGGGTTTACGAACAAAGTACCTTGCCTTATCTAATGGCATATGCGGGATGTTTTGGACCGGGCGAGAAGGCTTGTTGAAGGCATACATACATTTCCAGTATTTTTATACTTATAAGATTTATTGGCTAAAATGTGATAATATTTGTAAAATTTATTTAATTTAACACCAAATAAAAAATATCTTAAAAATTAAGTTAAAAATATAAATAAATCTACATAAGTGTTCGACATAAAAGTGTTCGGCCAAAAGAAATCAAATTTTTTCAAAACATAACTTGAATAACGATATCAATATTTAAAAGCAAATAACTTAAATCTTTTTATTACAACTTCTTCTTAAGCCGATCACTGATTTCAACTTAGGAAAAGTGATGCACTATCTATCTACATAAAGAAAAATTAAATTCGTTACTATTCTATTTATTCCCATATCATATCAAAATATCATTTCTGGGACATTATTTCTAAAAATATTTGTTACATTTAATAGTTTTTATAAAAAAAAAAACTAGTTTAATTTGTTTTTAAAGCAAAAATATTATGCAAATTATTGTTTTATATTTTTTTTAGCAACAAAATCATGTCACTGAAAATGTTATAAATATTAATTATGCCACTATTACCATTAATATTTGCATTATTAATAAATCTACATAATAATTCCATTTAAATGAACATCATGACATTGCAATTAATTTATTTAATATTTAAAAATTATAAACATAAATTTTAAAATTTCAATTATAATAAAGCTTCCAAAACAAAAAATTATTTTATAAAAAAAAAACGTTGACATTATTAATTAATGTAGAACTGGAGCTGATGGTGATGTTTATACCATAATTTGTTTAGTTTTTATAATTAATTGAAATCATGTTTTATTTATATGTTGTTGTTTTTTCAACAACAAATCTTGTTAATAATGAAATTAAGTCAAATGATAACTAGATGCTAACAGATGTGTGAATCATGTTGGCTTACCAGATTTTATTTTTTTGTTATTAAGTCAAATTTAGATTGAAAGGGGACTACAATCAAGTCTACAGACAAAACTAAAGAAGATTCTGATGTATAGAATAGACTATAGTTTGGATTACAGAATAGGCTATAGTGTGGACTATAGTATAGACTGTAGTCTGGACTATAGAACAGACTATAGTCTGGATTATACAAGAGACTATAGTCTGGACTATGGTCTAGACTATAAAGTAGACCATAGTCTGGACTATTGAAAAGACTTGAGTCTAGACTATAGAGTATACTAAAGTCTGGAATATACATTAGACATTAGTCTGGACTATAGAATAGACTATAGTCTGGACTATAAAATAGACTATGATCTGGACTATAGAATAGACTAAAGAATAGATTATAATCTGCACTATAGAATAAGTTGTAGTTGGGAACAAAGAATAAACTATTGCCTTGATAAAGGAATAGACTATAGTCTGGACTATAGAATACACTATAGTCCGGATTAAAGAATAGACTATAGTCTGGACTATAGAATAGACTATAGTCTTGGCTATAGAATAGATTACAATCTGCTCTATAGAATAAAATGTAGTTGTGAACATAGAATAAACTATTGCCTTGACTATGGAATTGACTATAGTCTGATCTATAGAGTATACTAAAGTCTTAACTATAGAATAGACTATAGTCTGGAATACAGAATAGACTATAGTTTGGACTATAGAATAGATTATAATCTACACTATAGAATAAGTTGTAGTTGGGAACATAGAATAAAATATTGCATTGATTAAGGAATAGACTATAGTCTGGAATACAGAATATACTATATTCTGAACTATAGAATAGACTATATTCTTGGCTATAGAATAGATTACAATCTGCTCTATAGAATAAAATGTAGTTGTGAATATAGAATAAACTATTGCCTTAAATTTAGAATTGACTCTAGTCTGGACTATAGTCCGGGCTATGGAATAGACTATAGTCTAAACTGTGGAATAGATTATAATCTGTACTAAGGAATAGACTATAGCCTGGACTAGAGAATAGATTATTGTCTGGAATTTGGAATAGTCCGGACTATAGAGTAAACTAACCACTAAACTTAACCATACATTGGACTATAGTTTGGAAGATATAATAGAATATAGTTTGGACTATGGAATAGACTATAGTGTGGACTCTGGGGTAGACTATAATATGGACTATGGAATAGACTATAGTATGGACTATAATCTAGACTATAGAATATAATAGACTATAAATTGACTCTGGAATAGGCTATATAGTCTGAACTGTAGATAAGATAATAGAATAACATATGATAATGAGTTTAGATTAGACTTTAGTATAGTCTAGACTAGAATATTCGTTAGTTTATCGAATACCTTAGACTATAATGTATAAGTAAACAGTTAATCACTTGATAAAGAGTAATCAATACTTTGTAGTCTAAGCATCATTCTGAATAATATTTTAGATACATTTTGCAAACATTTCCACACTTTGTTGTAGAACACACTGTATTTAAATATGTGCAAATTTCATGTTTATTTGCGTCTACATTATACTAATTAAGATAAATATGACCGACAATTAGCTAAACAGAATTAATGACAATTTTTACAGTTTTTATAAAATTTTGCAACAATTAAATAATTTTTTAAAGGGAAATTTTTTAAGTTAATGCTCGCCGTTGCTTAGTTCTTTGCATGGTATAGCAGATTATGAGACGAAATTAAAAGATAGGTATTGCTTTTTTTTTGAAATATGAAATTAAAAATGTTTATATATTTTACGTCATATGTATGGTTGAAATGCTCTTTAATATGGTATCGGTCTTTATTATAGTTGCAAGGGAAGTTAATTTTTTTAAAATTACTACAATATCTTCTTTCTTAAATAAATTAAAAAACTTACTAAACTCTTTTAATAATTTAGAAATATTATTTCTTTTGTTACATAACGATACATAGAATTATATAGCATTTTTTAAAAATATTCGAACTTTGTAAATTCAAATAACATAATTGCAAACAAAAATTAAAATTTCCCAAGAAAATACTTTCCAAAAATGTTAACATAAAGCAAAAGTCATAAAAAATCCTAAAGTTAGTTTTTTTTCTTTTGTATTAACCATTAAGCAGACATAATCTAACGACATGATAAATGTCAACACATGTTCAAAGAAAACCGGCATGATGAAAGGAAAACAAAACAAAAATAATAAACAACGCCAAAATGTATATTATGAAATTTTCAACGTAAACCACACAAGGATATCTGGGGCACAGATGTGTCTAACAAATTACTAAATAAGGTGGAAGAAAGAAAAACCAAACAAAAAAAAATGAAAACAAAAACAATAGTGAATTATTTAACAACCGTTAACCCAACAAACTTTAACAACAATTTAAATCTAACCCAATATCAACTGAAAGTAGGCAACAGATTTTTTGGTTTATATTTAAATAGTTTACTAAAGTTAACCACATAATTATGTGTTTGTAATGTTGCTTAGAAAAAATATGTTAAAAATATATAAAGAAATACTTTAAGCCCTTCAAGAATATACATAAGAAGAAAAATAATTATTTCTTTCCAAACAATTAAATTGTTACGCATTTATTGTCGATTTCTTTGAATTGCTAAAGTTTTTCAATTGTATATTTGTGTTTGTAATAAATTTGTGTTATTTATGTTTGTTGTCGTAACCAAAAAATTATTATTACAACTTCTAATAATGTTTTTTGTACTTATTGTTACTTTAGGTACGAATATTTTCCTAAAAATTGTTGTTACTCAACCCCAAAAGTATGCTTCAAGTTCTTGCTACATTACAAAATTTGTTACTTTGGGGAGTAAATTTGTTTGTGTTTGACAACTTTGTTGTTTACAGAGAATGAAAGAAATAGTCCTCTAACTTCTAAGATGTCATTTGTTAAGTTTGAGAAAAATATATTCTACAGTCGAGACGAAGGAGTAGACTATAGACTAGACTATAGACTAGACTAGACTTGACTAGACTAGACTAGACTAGACTAGACTAGACTAGATTAGACTAGACTAGACTAGACTAGACTAGACTAGACTAGACTAGACTAGACTATAGACTATACTATAGACTAGACTATAGACTAGACTATAGACTAGACTAAAGACTAGACTATAAACTAGACTATAGACTAGAGACTAGAATATAGACTAGACTATAGACTAAATTATAGACTAGACTATAGACTAGACTATCGACTAGAATATAGACTAAACTATAGACTAGACTATAGACTAGACTATAGACTAGACTATAGACTAGACTATAGACTAGACTATAGACTAGACTATAGACTAGACTAGACTATAGACTAGACTATAGACTAGACTATAGACTAGACTATAGACTAGACTATAGACTAGACTATAGACTAGACTATAGACTAGACTATAGACTAGACTAGACTAGACTATAGACTAGACTATAGACTAGACTATAGACTAGACTATAGACTAGACTATAGACTAGACTATAGACTAGACTATAGACTAGACTATAGACTAGACTATAGACTAGACTATAGACTAGACTATAGACTAGACTATAGACTAGACTATAGACTAGACTATAGACTAGACTATAGACTAGACTATAGACTAGACTATAGACTAGACTATAGACTAGACTATAGACTAGACTATAGACTAGACTATAGACTAGACTATAGACTAGACTATAGACTAGACTATAGACTAGACTATAGACTAGACTATAGACTAGACTATAGACTAGACTATAGACTAGACTATAGACTAGACTATAGACTAGACTATAGACTAGACTATAGACTAGACTATAGACTAGACTATAGACTAGACTATAGACTAGACTATAGACTAGACTATAGACTAGACTATAGACTAGACTATAGACTAGACTATAGACTAGACTATAGACTAGACTATAGACTAGACTATAGACTAGACTATAGACTAGACTATAGACTAGACTATAGACTAGACTATAGACTAGACTATAGACTAGACTATAGACTAGACTATAGACTAGACTATAGACTAGACTATAGACTAGACTATAGACTAGACTAGACTATAGACTAGACTATAGACTAGACTATAGACTAGACTATAGACTAGACTATAGACTAGACTATAGACTAGACTATAGACTAGACTATAGACTAGACTATAGACTAGACTATAGACTAGACTATAGACTAGACTA